TTGCTAATTAGAATTAATACAACTTAGAGAGGGTTTCGTTTCAGTTGTTATTTTAATTCTATGGCAGACAGGACTCCCTGTCTACCTTTTAGCGAGTGGCCGCTCAGCGCGCCCTTGTCACTCAACACCTTCACTAAGTACTAGGGGGAAAGTTCAGATCTCGAACTCCTAGCTTCTCTCTTAGTTTTAGGAACTGCTTTGTCGGCAGAGCCTTTGTGAGGATATGTGGAGTCATCTCCCGAGTTGCACAATAAGCACCTTTGAGGCGACCATGTTCAACAAGGTCCCTTGTAAAGAGAAATCGGATTTCTATGTGCTAATTTGCTTTGTGGTTGCCAGGATTCCTTATAATGCTAATGGCAGCATTACTATCACACCATACTTGCACTGGTACCTTTTGAGGAAATCCCATTTTGCCTAGCAAGTGCCACAATCACTCACTCTCTTTAGCTCCCTCGCTTAGTGCGATGAGTTCTGCTTTAGCAGTCGCAAGCGATACGCCTCCTCGTTTACTACTACACCACGATACCCTCGTACCGGTCATTTGGATTACGTATCCAGTCACGGATATGGGTTCTTTTGGTTGACACGTGAAGCTCGCGTCAGTGTACACTTCGTAAGCCACATCTCTCGTATTTCCGTCAAGAAACAGACCGTACGTTGACGTCCCTTTCAAGTATTTGAGTACTCGCCTAGCTGCATCCCAATGTGTGCGATTGTAGCAAGACAAAAACTTGCAAAGTTTTTAACTGCATTGGAGATATCAGGCCGAGTTTCACGAACTAACTACTGGAGCGATCCAACGATACCTATATAGTCATAAGGCTGCGCCGCAATCTGTTCTGCGGTCATTTTCGTTTCTGGCTCTAGTGTTAGACCAGCAACTTGTGGTGTCATCACTGGTGCACTATCAACCATTTTGTACATGGTGATAAGTTCTGCAATGTATTTGCTCTGTGAGATCGTCATCACGCGCTGTTCTCTATTGCGTCGCACCTCCATTTTCAGGATGTAGTGAATGTCACCCAGGTCCTTCATCTTGAACCTATTAGACAATTCAGCTTTTAGCTTGTTGATAAGTCGCATGCTTCGCGACATGACCGTCAGATCATCAACATACACCACGACTATAAGTCATTCTTCTCCCACTTATTGCAAGTAAATGCAAAACAGCGTGCAAAACCCATATCCGTCAAAAAGGTATGAAGGACTCGATGTCAAATGCGAGGGGCTTGCTTCAAACCATATATACTTTTTTGAAGTTCACTGACCAGACTTTCGTGGCCTCGCTTCACAAACCCATGAGGCTGTCTCATATAGATCTTCTGCCCCCCTTCCATTGCGCCATTGAGAAAAGCAGTATGAACATCCATCTGATGGACATGACAGTTCAATATGGTCCAAATTGCCAGCACTAGGCGCAGGGACTCGAATCGTGCCATCGGTGCGTATACCTCATCACAGTCTACCCCAAAGTCTTGGTGGTTACCTTGTGCTACTAGGCGTGCTTTGAACCGCTCGACACTACCGTCGACGTGATACTTTACAACTAGTACCCAATGAGATGTCAAAGCCTTACGTCCGGATGGGCAGTCTTACAAGCCTCCATGTCCTATTCTCAATTAAGGGGTCATGATATAGCTCTAGAGCTGGTTTCCACTGCTCTTTATGAGGGGCTCTTAAGGCTTCTTTAAGTGAGCGGGGTGTAGGCACTTTGTGCTCCGCAATTTCCTGCGCAATGTTCTTATCTAGTATCGCTTGGAAGCACTGATAGTCCTGATACCGCTTAGGTTTCTTTACCTCTCGACAGGGGCGTGATTCCCGGCTTTCAGCCGCTTCCACCAGCCCTTCTCGTCGACGTTTGTTCTTAGCTCCCACTACTGGGTTTGTTACCGGAGTAACTTCTTGTGCTCCCACTGCCTCCAACAACCCCTGCTCTAGTGATTGAGCTCCCACTGCTTTCGTATTCTCGGTGGCAGTTACTTCCACTTCTTGTGCTGCGGGTAACTCGCGCACTGCAAATCCAGAAGTGAGGGTTTGATCGGTCTGTCCGAAAGCTCTTTTGACCATGGCGGCTACAGTGGTCGTATCGAACAGCACATCCCGGGAAAGAATGTATTTGTTGTTATAGATGTCCAAAAGCCGAAACCCCTTTGTTTCCTCTGATACTCCAAGGAAACGACACTTTACAGCTCGAGCGGACAGTTTCTTGTCTTTACGTAGGGCAGCTGGCACGTGTGCAAAACAGACTGAACCCCAGACAAGAAGCTCTTTTACGTCAGGAGGTTTTCCGTAGACCATCTCATACGGTGTTTGATATCCCAACCTTTTCTTAGGTTTGCGATTCTGTACATAGGTCATGTACGTCAGCACTTCTGGCCACCACCTGTGCTCCATACCAGCATCTTTCAATGCACGTTGCACCCTATCCAGTTTACTCTGGTGATCACGCTGCGCAGCTACATTCTCTTCTGGGCTTTAAGTGTTTGGTTTCTGAAAGACAATACTCTTTCCTTTACAGATGTTCTTGAATGCAGCATTCACAAACTTAGTGCCACCATCGGAGCGTATCCGACGTATTGTGAATTTCCCTTCACGTTCCAGGTGCAGTAGTAGTTCTTCTACTTTTTCAAAGACTTCTTTCTTGTCGCGAAGGATAAATGTCCATCTCCACGACGTATTGTCGTCAATGATACTCAGGAAGTACTTGATTCTTCCTGAACTCCCATACACACCTGTGGTTTTCGTAGGACCATTTGTGTCCAGGTGAATGGTACTAATAGGTTGTTCATCTCTCGAACCCTTCAAGTTACGGTAGGACATCCTCCTTTTCTTCATCTCTGCACATGTTGAGCAAAAGAACGGGATTTTTCTAAGTCCCGTGGCTGATAGCATAGGCATCCCGCTAACCAGCTTCTTGCTCAGCATATCGATGACTGTGTCCTTATTTAGGTGACCAAGCTTAACATGCCACTCCTGCAATATTCTCTAATATCAATAAACCTCTGGGTTTGATAGTGGTTTGCAGGGTTGTGTCTTAACAGCGTTACAGAGGGTCTGCCGTTCAAATAGCGTTTTATTCTGTACGTAGTATGCTCCATTTATTGCTTTTGCAACAAACACAAGTTCATTGTCAAAAAGCACAAATTTGAACTTCCCGCAAAGTGAACCCAAAATTTGGGACCCTCTGCGTCTGAGCCAGAACTCGCTCAGAATGTTCGAGGTTGCATGCGGCACCATCGCTATATTGTCGAATAGAAACGGTTGAATGCTCTTTGGTCCACGTAAATACAATTTGACTGTACCAATGTGTGTATTTGAATGCTTAGAGCCCTGTGCAAAGGTAAACATGTACTGTGTATTGAGGCTCTTGGTAACAAAGCGTGCCATCTCGCTTGTTAGGCCGTGTCCGCAGCCGGAGTCTAAAGCACCCAAGTATCCGTTATTAGAAATGATTCTTCAGTCAATAGAAACGGATACAGTATTCGTACCTTCTCTTCCATCTCACTCATCATGCCGGCGAAGCGCTCCGTCGTCGCGGCAATCCCTGGATTGTTGGTCTCCACTTGAGCTTCATGCATCTCCACGTCACCATCCGATTGTTTATCGGTGGCCTTCCGGTGTTCGTGGCGCCGACTTCAACTGCGTGGACAACTGTATCCATCGGTTCGTCATCGTCCGAATACGGTGATGTGCCCTTTCCCGGTGTGTCAGGTAGCTTCACGTAGCTTGGTGCAGGGCTCATTTAACCAGTTGGAATAGCCGGCGACTTCAACTCCACAGCGTCGACAGCGTGCTCGACCTGGCACTCCTCCAAAGGAATTTCACGGCGTCGCTTGGCCTTTTCCTTTGTTTTCCCCTTCCCCTTGGATGCTTGCGCCTTGGCTACTTGCGCAGCTTTTCCTTTCAGGCGGATTGGCTTTGAAAAAATGTTGCGCCTTTGCACGCCAGCCGCCCAGTCTAAGAAGTGGTTTGGGTGGTCGACCAGCTTGTGCGGACCAATGTTGTTCATGCCGTTGTGACCGCCAGCACAGTAGTGGCACTTCATCCAGCCCTGATTGTAGTGCCGATCCTGATCTGGTTCACTCGAGGCCTTTCTTTTGCCCAAAGCCGAGCCATTCTGCTTGGTCGGAACGGCTGAGATACGGTTGACCACCTTTCCTCTGGCTGGGTCCATTGTCTCAGCCTTGCTCTGGTTGCCGTAGATGTTGTTGAGCTTCTCGGTGACTTTCTCGAGCGTGAATCCTTCAGGGGTAAACTCAACCGAAGAGCCCCACATGTGGCTCGGCAACACCCCCAACACCATCACCAGCATAAGCTGGGAGGTCAACCTTTGCGAGTTCAGAGCCTCACGCGAGTTGACGTTGACCTGGCTCCGCACTGCATTCAGATCTTGAAAGAGCTGTTCCACGCTCTTGAAGTCGGCGTTCACAATCTCCATGAACTGAGTCACTAAGCCGACGACACCAGCAGCATTGCTGAGGCTGTACTGCCTTTTCATCAGTCGCCAGATCACACGGACCGGTTCGTCCATACGCTTGGTAGCAATTCCCTTGAAATCGCCAGGCAGCGTCTCGCACAGCAGTTTCTTGATGTACGATGCCTGCGTGCAGAGCAGAGTCTCGTGCATATCGTACTGCCACGCCGACTCCGTGTCGTCAGCAGGCGGGCGTGGAGGCAGTGACGGCTGGCTCTTGAGCAAATCTTCAAACCGACTCAGCGGCTTTGCACGCTTGCGCTGCAGCTCCTCGAGCGCATGCTGCTCGCTCTGAGAAAGCTCACTACAGTGTATTTACTTTTATCTCTCTATCCTCTATACTAATGTCTATACTACAGACTCGTGCTCGGGGTCTGAGGCAAAAGAGGAAGTGAGCTCGTCTTCGGACTGCGTCCTTGGCGGCTGCACTCCTTGCCTCGTATCGTCATCGCGCTATGGCTGGCAGGCAGCTCTCTGCCTGCACTATCCAGATCACAGCTGTGATCTGAACTTCGTCTCGTACTTGCTAATTAGAATTAATACAACTTAGAGAGGGTTTCGTTTCAGTTGTTATTTTAATTC